AGTACTCCTGCGCATGCGCAAACGCATCGCGGCTGCCATTTTGAAAATAAAAATGGAGGCCGCAATGCGTTTGCGCATGCGCAGGAGTACTGTGCATGCGCAAACGCGTCACGACCGCCATTTTGAAAATCAAAATGGCGACGGTGCGTGCGGTGGTAGTGGCAGCGGCGGCAGCACGCGCGGGGGGGTGCGCGCACACAGGGGTGTGTGCGCGTGCCGCCATTCCCCCCCCCTCGGCCCAGCGGTGGGAGGGACTTTGTGGGACCGGTCCCAAGCTCAAAAAGGTTGCCTACCCCTGATCTAGGTCCTCCAGTGCCAACTCTATGGTCAACTTTAACCAAAAGTTGCACTGAAGGACTTAGAGATTCCTAGACAGGACACTCCACTAGGCATTTGTAGCTCCTCCAACACAATTCTATGGTCAATTTTGGGTCGATGTTGACCACAGAGTTGCACTGGAGGTGCTAGCGATTCAGAGAGAGGTGTTCGTTTGAGTAAAAACATAGTGTTTTATTATTTGTGGTTTTTCCACATTCAAGGGGGTCCTGTGCCCCTAACTCCAGTGAATGTGGAGGAACGAGTGCACAATATAAACCTCCTATCAGCAGGAGATATTTTCCAGGATTTACCATGGAAACATAAAACTGTGGAAAAAAGCAAACCCTATTGAAATTAATGACTTACAGCAGAAGTTGACCATAGAGTCACACAGGAGGGTCCACAGATTTCTAGAGAGAACACCTCTCTAGGCATTTCTGGGTCCTCCAGTGCAACTCTATGGTCAATGTCCACAGGAAGCATACCATAGAGTCTCACCAGAGGACCTAGAAAGTGCCTAGAGAGAACTTATTTTTTTTTTCAGACATGGGTAAGCAAAACCATGGGTACCAGTCCTGTGAATATGGGGGGTCATACTGTCTAGGGCTATAAGTTTGTCTACGTCTGTTCAAAAATACTCAGGGGAGGGCTTTCTCTTGCTCCTGGTGTGTTTTGTCAGGTCAAGTGAAAAGGCCTTCTTGGTGGCTGCTCCCTGTCTGTGGAACTCCTTCCCACAAAAGACATGTTTGGCCCCATCGCTGCTCTTTCTGTTGTCAGGCAATGACCTTTGCATTTAGGCAAGCCTTTGACTGTTAACTACTTGTTTCAAAAGGGTTTTTCCCCCATGAGGATGCTGTATTTTCACCTCCCTTACTACATTTTAAACACTTTAAAAATAGTTAAAACAAGTCTTTTTTAATGGTATTGCTTACTTGGTTGTTTATTATTATTATTATTATTATTATTATTATTATTATTATTATTATTATTACTATTATTGTGGTCACAGACCCAACAAAGGTTTTTAAGTTTCATACACGAAATCATTTAAGTGGCATTTTGTTTCAGCCTAAGCTGTAAGCTGTTTTCTTTCTTCCATAATGTAACAAAGGTAGAATATTAGGAATATTAAGAATATGATAGATAGATAGATAGATAGATAGATAGATAGATAGATAGATAGAAAAATTGTCCTAGGCAGCTCTCAAGAGGCCTATCTGTTCCAAGAACCTTTGAGTCAAGTCCTTCCATTATTTTTTTTAAAGGATTTTTATTTTTTTATTTATTTGTCCTGTTTTCCTTCTTCTTCCCTCCCCTAAGCAACGTGCCCAAGTTCACTGTATTAAATTAAAGGAATGATTCATACGAAAACAAGGTTTCATGAAGCAAAGGTAGTGTGGAGAGGAAGGAGGTGAAATTCAATTTTGGATTACCACATAGGAGTCAGAGATATCCGGTGTCCTTTCCTCCCTGCGAGGCTAAAACAAGAAATTGGCGCTGTGGCATCTCACAACAAACCTGCTCCTTCACATTGAACCCCCAGAAGGATGCGCCAAAATAATAATTTTAAAAAGCCATTTGCGTCATGTCCTTAATCTCGCACGGAGCCCAGGAGACCGCCAAACCGGCTATTTACCTTCCGCAGTTCCGGTAAAAATGAAGAGGCTAGAAGGATTTTGCCTGTGATTAATTTCCTCTCACCATCTCACCATCTATTGTTGCGGCAAGCGGGAAGAAGCAGTAATGAGCGGTTTTGGCCTCTTCTTCAATTGATTTTGAACAGTGCCAGGCTTATGGGGTCTCGCTCAGCTCAGACTGCATTGACAGACTTAGCTTTTGCCCAACTTCTGAAGGAAAGGAGCCTGCAAATGCAAGACTCACTGATCTTGGGATAAAAGACTAGAATTAGAACTATCTCCTGATAGTCTTAACTCTATCATGTACAACTTCCCACATCCTTCTTTGAAAGAGATATCAGAGAGGAAGAGAAAAGTCCATAGGTGGTTTCTTGACCACAGCTACATTTCTCCAAAGACCAGGATAGCTAGTAAATCCTATTCATGGGAACAGTGAAAAGGATTCTCACTGTCCTGTGATCTATGGGACATCCCATATTTGGGGTCCTCAAGCCTCATCCTATATGGTCCCCAAAATCCTGTTATTTGAGTGTTGGTACCAGCTGTGCTCCCAGAGAATGGTCCCTGAGTAGAGATCGGATCCCTTCCAACATTTTATAGATGGATGGAAACTGGGTCCTGTATGGCTGAGCAACATCAGAGTGTGGTCACGATGGCAAAAAGTGTTCATAAGGAAGAAAGCAAAAGCTAGGAAAGGCTGCAGCAGTTTGCTTTTGGCTGAGCACATTGGAAAAGGCAGAATTGCATCCCCACACACATTTCCTGCTGAATTTGCACTGCAGAAATAATGGAGTTTGACACCACTTTAACTGATATGGTTCCATACCATGGAATTCTGGGATTTGTAATTTTGTGAGATATTTAGCCTTCCCTGTTAGGGAGCTCTGGTGCCACGACAA